GGAGGTGCTCCCCATGTTGATGCCCGGTTCGTCTAGGCACAAGGATCCTGCATCCTCGACAACTAGGCTTACGCCTCTCGAGGCAGTCCGCTTCAAACGCGGGATGCATCGATTCTGGCTCTTCTGCGAATGTTACTCCCCTCCTGAATATGACGACGGCGACGACGACTGTCAAGCAGCGAGGGACCGGGCCGCGAACGAGTGTCTTCGACTGTTGCTCGTAGAAGACCTGTTCGAAGTAGGTGCTGTGGCTGCTTTTTGTGCCGAAATGTACGAGTGGAATTGCAAAGCCTGGAGTTTGACACCCGTCAACCCTCCTTACGGTCCGTCTCTCGCGCATCCGCGGTGTCTAATTCCTATTATATTTGTGTTCCTTACGCATGCTTAAAGCGGATTTCTACCGGGACCATACGTGCGTGGGCCCGGAGCAAATATTGCAAGACTTTCAACATCTCTACTCCAGTCAACCTGAGGGCGCTGAGAACTCGGGTTTCTTCTGGACGTCTTTTGAGCACGCTGTCACCCGCTTTCAACTCAGCCAACAGTCTCGAGACGACAGACTCGTTCACGCAATCATCCGAGAAGACGTCCGAGCAGGCAACAGCTGCACGTTAATCTATACCGGTCTCTTGCGCCGTCTCATGGTTGTATGTATGCAGGTGATCGCTGCCACGCCGTGCGCGGTATCGATCTCTGGGGATCAACCAGTAGGCATTGTTTCCCTGAACGCCAACGCACACCAGTTGATTCACGGTTCTCTAACGACCAGACTGGCCCCTCCTGCGCGGGTTCCTGTCTCTCGACGAGGTGCGCACGTTGCTACCGGGGCGTCTGCAACATAATTCGACTGAGACGAAACCGCTGTGCAAACGTCTTGGCTCCGAGTTCTGGTTGGTTCATCGGCCACGGCCCGAGGCAGACGAGGTGTTCACCAATCTGATGAAGGAGATGATCCAGTTGCCGGTGGACGATGCTGTGGCATGGTCAGCGGATGAGTGGTACTGCCATGATTGCGTGCGCGAGCTGTTCAAGCAGAGACTCTGGCGGTGGTGGCACGCGAAGAAACGAGAGGGTATGTTGAGTCTCATTCAGGCGTTTGCGCGACAGCCGACTTGCACTCTCATAGCTGGAACACCTGAAATGGAGGATTGCTGGTGAGTCGAAGAATGGATCCCCCGAGGGCCCCGAGCTTAGCAACGGAACAAATTGATCGTGACCGTCGCCCATGCAGGTATGGTTATAATTGTCGAACTATGGTACACAGGCAGGCACACGCCGAGAAGTTGAACGTGAGTGAATGTGCTGCCTGCCTGCAGGACTCAGACTGATGGACGGGCCACTGTACCGACAGCACCTATGCGTGCCCACCAAAGGGGATGCTTGAAGCTTGTAGCTTGATTTTGTACATATATACGGTCAAGGTTATGTATCACGTTCTCCTCTCTCAGTCAGCACCATGTGAATATTTGAACGCATGTAGCATAGCGAGGAGTGCTTCAGCTCTCTATGACAACGGTGGCAGTTGAGACACCTGCCCCAATTCCAAATCGCTGTCATGGCCTCTTTCATCTCATGACATATGCATTGCTGTCTGCGTTGCAAGTGGCTTGCTTAGGGTTCAATCACTATATACAAATTCGGGGCTGAATGGTGTCTGGCTTGTCGGGCACTGCTGTTACAGTCTGGGGTGGGCCAACGTCCGATAGCTGTCCTCTGTGGGAGGAGGATGGTCGTAGGTGTTCCTGGTCCCCACATCTACCAGAATTTGCGTCACTTTGTGTGCTGTACGTTCGGTGCCAAGAGGATGTACCACGACTACAGACATTTGTACGATAATGAACACCTAGCACTCTCAGTCTAACTGCGACCACGGTTGCGGACCCTGTCATCCGCAACTCAGATCATGTCCTTAGCCTGAAATATCTTCCGGGGCTCCTGGGCTGCATGTCGACCTTCTTGGGACGCCTACCCGCCAGCGCGAGCGGCGGGTCAGGCAACGCGAACTCAAACGCTCGCCGCGCGGCTTGTGAGATAATGTGCAGGTTGCACCTGAATGAAGCCTTGTCATAATCTGCGTCTCAATCCAAGTCACGGCCACGCAATGCGCAGTCCACGACCACATAAGCCGCACTTGCGACCTGAGGCAGACTCGGATCGAGACGAGGAGAAACGGGAACCTCTATCCAACGTACCGGCGCCTCCGACAATGGGCATGGTGGCTGGATCGTGATTCGTGCACGCCACATGCAGTGCGACTGGTCGGCGCTGTCTCGACTCTGAGCGTACTGTGACCATGCTGCCGCGGTCTACGCCGGCCATTCACTACACAAAACGACGCGGCCATCATTTCCTGCCTTGAGATTTCCGGCGTCGCTGTAGCTTGAAAGGCTGGCTTTCATCGGTCCACTATTAAGGGCGGAACATGATTCACGCGGTGCTCATCTGTTCGCCTCTACATTCCTACATTACCGCCCTTACTGATCATCGACTACAGTCAATACCTCAGGCGTTCCTCGTCTGACAAAGTTCTACTCATCGTTGCACCGGTCGTCGCAAACGCTCGTGCACAAGATCTTTTCCCTTGTCTCTACGCGTGCCCCCGGCCTCTGTAACTTTCTCGATGCACCAGAATTGGAGACCTTCCTAACCGCCCAGGATGCGGACGGTGAGAAACTAAGAGTCGTGTATCGAAATTATGCGACTCTCTACTTCGTCTTCGTCGTGGACAATGCGGAGAGCGAGTTAGGGATCTTGGACCTCATTCAGGCAAGTTATCTCCTAACGAAAGAAAAGGCGAAGGGCGCTGAGTTTTGGGAATCGGATAGGTCTTCGTAGAATCCCTGGATCGAACGTTTGAGAATGTATGCGAGCTTGATCTCGTTTTCCACTTCGACGAGGTGTGCAAGTCTTCTAGCGTTGTAAATTTGCGCGTCCTTAACCTTATGTTACGCAGGTTCATCATATCCTTTCTGAGGTTATCCAAGGAGGCCTGGTACTTGAGACAAATGTAGAAGAGATTGATCACCAAGGTGAGTATTCCTCATGCAGCAGAGCGCCCTAGCAGCTGACATGCTCTCGGTAGTACAAAGAGCGGCGAAAGCACGGAAGGAATCATTCGCGTCTGCTAACCCGCTATCACTGGGAACCGGCGTCGCTGGAGGAAGCTCAAGAGGTAGCGGCTTGCCTAGCCTTGGTTGGCTAACAGAGAAGCTGGCAGGTGTGGGCACAAAGTAGGGCCTACTAAGAAGATCGACCCTATTCGAAGCTACGGATGTACTACTACAGGATGTGCATGAGACATGCGTGCTCGGCGCTGACGATCAAACTAGTTGATGATGAAATGCCTCGGGTTCTCTAGCACGACCAGCCCGAACGAGTATCTGCCGATGACCTGCCTCTTGACACGACGCAAAAGCAGACCCGATGACTACAGTCGACGATCCTACAACGGCGACTGTGATCTGAAGTCAACATGCGAGTATTCGCAGTGACGTGTAGAACTGAATGAATATGTTCCGAGCCATATCATGATGTGGTGCTGTTCGAGGCTGTGGTCCCTGAGGCAAGACAATCGTTAACAATCGCGACGAGCACTTGTTGCGTCCGCTCACTCCTTTTCTTCTTCTTGCCAGCTCCTGGCTGTCCTTTTGTTGGCTCCCTTTCCAATGGCGATCCCGCTCTCTTGATTCCAACGGGCGTCACTGCCCTCGTTGCGGGCGCCGGAGTGGCTGCAGCACTTCTCACCCCCGGCGTGGGACCTGGACCGGCACCAGGTGTTTGGCTCTCAAGTGCGGCCGGCGTGCTCTCGGAGGGTGCGGCTGTGGGCAGTGTGAACGACTCTGTTGCGTGCAACGCTGTTGTCCGTATGGCGTTGACAAGAAGCATGACGTTCTGTTGCCGAGGGTTCGCAGAGACCTTAACGCGCTTGGACTGAGATGGGGAGAGCTCCCGGTCTTGCGACTGTGGTTCTGCCCCCTGCGTGGCAGGACGTTCGTCATTACTCTCCTCCGCCCGTTTCAAGGGGTCGGATGACTCGACGATCGGCCAGACAAATCCGGTTCGAGGGGTGTAACTCGGTCGATGAGAACGAAGGATGTCCAGCGATGTTTGTAGAGCTTGTAACGAGGTCAGCTGAGTCGTTCTTCAGTTTATGACAGAGGAAATGGCAACGGTTGCACGAACCAAGCGATTAGAGACGAGACTGTAGACGTCTGGCGATTGATAGATCCGGTTGTTCATGATGAAATAGGCCACCAACGGTCGCACTGACGTATATCATAACCAGTTCATGCATCACAGGTGTCAGGCATGTCGAACCCACCCTCGTCTGGGGATAGTCGTTCGCGTTTGTGGATGATGAAGAGCCCGGGTGGCTGAGAGTGTACTACGGCGAACTCAATGCCGGTGAATCGGCTGGGCACCGAGGTGAGAAGTTGAACAATCACCAAAAATCAGCCTTACCGCAGTTCTTCTGCTTCGTTCTCCAGAGGTACGCCAGTGTGCATAGTCTGCATGCGTAATACCTGGTTATTGCTTTGCTTGTCATAGAACATTGAAGTAGCGAAATAATCGAAGACATTCTCATTTGTGAGGGGGCCGTTTGCCTGCAAGAGATGAATAGTTCAGTGAAGTCCAGGGAGGACGAGAATGTGAGCATATCGACCTGGATCCATTCATGCCAAATGAAGAACCTATGGCTGTAGTCATCAGGCGGGTGCAAGTCGTTGACGTCCATCACTGCAACCTGCGTTCCGTTCAAAATGCAGTTTTGTATTTGATTTGACGTGAATACTTGAGGAGTAGAGATGGCCGAGAGAAGAGTGGGCTGTCAGCAGTGTTGCCCTTCTGACTCTTTGTTGGTGGCTAGGTCGACGATGAGCGCCACGGTCCGCGGGTCACGGGTGGCGTGGCGCCAGGCGGCGTGACATTGGCCCCCGTGACCGCGATGAACGGAAACCCGACAGGGGCTATGGATAGGCCTCTTTGAAACACCCTGTATAGCCCGCCTAGCTCAATCGGATAGAGCGTCAGACTCTTACCAATTACCATTGGTGCTAGCGGGTATCTGAAGGCTGCGAGTTCGACCCTCGCGGTGGGCTACTGTGAGTTTTTTCTTCTTACTCTCATTGAAGACACCAGAACCCTGTTCAGCCGCACATCCGTGAAACCGAAGGCATTTACACTCATCCTAAAGTCACATTTTCGTTTAGTCTCCGTTGCTGACCAACAAGATATAATCCCGTTTTTGTATCTTCGCAGCCATTAGAAGTAGCCGGGATAATGGCAATAGGTCAATCACTCATTCGCTGTGAGCCCCAGATCGATGAGTATTCAAAGGGCAGTGACCTTCACGGTGGTAGTATCTGTACGTGCCAGTGGCAATCACATCACCCCAGTGCACTGTTTAGGATATCAGCAACTGACTGCATGGGTGCGCGAATAACTACTCGGCGAAGTCGCATATCTGCTCTGGGTGTTAGTGAACACGAAAAATGGAGATACAGTAGCGTACTGGGTCCATATCTTGTGCGTTCAGAGGGACAGCGCGCAGCGCCGTCGGACTGTCAGACCGACCATCCCAGAGTATCATATTCACTGCATGAACACCGCTTGAAGCCTGTGTTCAGTGTTCGACGGTGCCCCTTCGAAACACATCCTCGCTGGTAGTTGCTACCTTCGCTGATTCATTAGCAAGTCTGTCAGCGCGAACGGTGAGTGACACGAGACTGATGACGCGGCGCCAATGACCTTTGGGATGACTCGGACACATCAAATTATGGTGGCCATGAGTAAGTATTGCGTTTCGTCGCTTGACACTGGCATGGTCGCCCAAGGGGCCGAGTGTTCTCCGATCATGGGTTCTGTCCAGCTAAATAATTGCATGATAATAATTGTGTGCTTTCGGCAGATCAGTAGAATTGGCCGAGTCTTCTGTATTGGAAGAATCCTCAGCTTCAATGGGAGAAGTAACGCTAGGCCCACCAAGACTACTATTGTTGTGTCCCCGGCACCGAGCGGACGTAGTCGCTACGCTACTAGAATTCGGCAGTTCTACGCCGCTTCACCTAAAACGTACTATCAGCTTGCGAAAGATCCGAGGGTAAAATGGGGCCGACCCGTAAATTTATATTCGATAGGCGTCCTCGGCCGTTAAGCAGCTGCTAGGCACAACTACGACGGGAGACAGGGTGGGTTCGGCGAGCCCGTGTCCGTCGTGAGCTGTGGGGCTCTCAACCCTACGGTAGGGCTTTCCATTGTGGCCGTATTGCGACGAAGAACCAAGGTGCGATAGTTTGACGACGGCGTGTGTGCGGCATGACTGCCGGGGCTGTGCACACGAGTATACAGCATGGAGGGCGCAAGGTGGTCCAATTTTCCGATCACATTCTTTCTATCGCCAGCGGGTGGGCGGTCACGGCGCCGTGCATCGTACAACCTAGACTGGCCCGTAGCCTGGCACGACATTAGCATGTCCGCTCGAGATGGCGAACAAAATTTTCAAGCACACACCCTGGCCCGCCTTCGACCTCGCCGCTTGTATAGGAATTGTCCCTTCCGTACATCGCTATAAAAATACCTCTTTCGAGCGGTGGGATAAATTGGAATGCCCTGGCCTTGCTTCGTAGGGCCGCCAAGTCGTACCTCGTCTCGCCTGGCTGCACAATGGCGGTCTGCAGGCTATGCCCACACAGCATTTCTATCAAGGTCAGCAGATTCAAAGAATTTGGGAAGTAGAGTGTACGAGGACTCGCACCGCCCCCTGTGACAAAACAGCTCAATGCAGATAGATACACCGTAGGATCAGCCAGTGCAGCTATCCCACCAAGCCTGCTTTTGCTCAGGCGTCAGCTAAGCTGATGTCGACAGCTATGTACGTTACGGTTTGGGGCATCGCATCATCTGTCAAGTGCCTTAGTAGATTTGATAGCGCTAAGAGGCCCCGACTGACCGGAGGCTGTGTTGATTCAAACCTTACGCACGAACTGCAACTGCCAAACTACGCTTCGTATGACTCGAAAGCCCCGTTGCCGGTTCCGCCTCTCCTGCCGCTCGCACACTGACAGATGTCCCGACCGGCCACCGCATCAAATACTGTGATTCCTGGGTACAGTTCAGTAGTAAGCAGGGTCCCACATGACGAAATGGGCAAGAGGATGCAGCGGGGTACGGTAGTGAGACATATCGGGAATATCCCTCGCTGCCTCGACGCTCAAACATACCGGGTAGATGGATATCGATTGAACGAAGGCCTCCAAAATGACCTGGATTTATCCCGTCGAACCTGTTACAGCGGAGGACCACGTTCTGTACTGCGCGCTGATCGCCAGTCCTCGAGGATTTGCACCGCAGCGAGTTCGCTCCACAACACACCCGCAGTCGTCCTTCGAGCACTTCTCCATGGACGCTCGAAGCACGCTCACGGTTGCACCAATGCCGCGCCTTGGACACGTATCTGTTCATAGCACTGGTGAGAATTTTTGATATTTAGAGAAAAGGGCTATCATGATTTCGTCAACACATCAATGGCCTAAGACAAAGCAAATACAGTTGCAAGATCCGGTCGGCGGGTTGTTTACTCTGTATCCTGGCCCGAAGGAGCATACCTGGTCAAGTCGCCGAAGTCCTTGCGTGTGGCCCACCAACACATTGTATATGTATGACGATTGCATGGTGACGGACAAAGGGTATTTGGCCCGGTGCTCTCGTCACAACGGAGCCCGAAGAACGCGCGCTGTGCGCCCGGGACACGGTATTTCAATTAGGAATCAATATTGCCCCGACGACCAAAAAGTCCTTCATTCTCTGGGAGATGTGGATACGAGCCAGACGCTCGAGGTCATGTTACTGCTATGGAGGTGATACATGCCGTCAGAGACATGGTGACGAAGGGGGAGACACTCACAAGTGCCGTATTTCCTGGGGGAAGCGTCATACCTATCATACCTAGCCTCCGAGAGATCAAAGAGCCGGCAGCTTGGGCATCGATGACAGTCCTGGTGGAGACTGGCCTTAGGGGATCCGTGTCGCGTGCAGAGTCTGCTTATGCAGATACTGACCCTACTAAGTTGACGCGTCCACTTTTTTGTCATCATATCGGCGGGCGGAACGGCACGGGCCTTGATGAATGGTCTGCGCATTCAATGCTCTGCTGTGGCTATATTTGCAGAGAAGGGATGTGCGAGCAGCTTTGAAGAAGAGCGAAGACAACACAGCATGCGCCGGTCCAAAGATAGCACACCTTGCGTTGATCGGATGCGCCCGTTCTGTGGTATGTCACGTCGTTGCATTTGCTCTGCTGTAATTATGCTATTGAGAGGGTCGAGTGGGGAAGGCCGTCAGATGTGAAGCAGCCCACGTATGCAGCAGCCTCGGAACTAGGACGCTGCACGCAGACGGTGCAGCAGAGGAGCTGTTGTTGACGAGTGATGCGATCAAGACATGTTCTCGGTGACGCACCCATCTGCTGACGGCGTTGTGATGACCAACAACGCAGGTTCATTCCGTCGAGGACGCCCGACTCGAGTCATAGCACCCTCGAGACTGCGGAATGCACGGACCCGAGAGGAGGGACGGCTGACGGCGCAGCGCTCGGCGTCGACTCGTCGACCCGCCGAGCTCGAGCTGTGATATCGCGGCGACGCGGACGAGCGGTGGCGGCAGCGCCGGGGCAGGCCAGGGCGGGTGGCGCGTGACGCGTGATTGGCTGGGGCGGCTGGCGGATACGGAGTGCGTGAGAGGAGCAATGAAGCCTCCCATATATGGCAGGTGCAGCGCCTCGGGAGGAGAAGCCGAGGGCGACAGGGCGACAAGGGGTGGGAATGCGCGGCAGGGTACGTGTCCTGCCGCCCCGTTGCGCAGCACCCTTTTCTCTCTCCTCCACGACATATCCTCCCTCCCTCATCTCTCCTTCAACCAGCACCTCCAAGAGTACATAACGCCTCCGCAGTCACACCACCATGTCCGACACCTTCGCTCAGTTCTACGCTCCGACTGCGCCGCTGCAGTACACCCCGAACGCTAAGGGCCAGCAGGAGGACGCGGCTGCTTACGGCGTCGACGAGGTCGACTACTCGAAGCAGAACTTTGATTTCTTCCATTTCGGCACGGGGGCTACGGGCATCGTTGCGCCACACCCAGACCAATTCGAGTCCGAGCTCGACTCCTCCCTCGCCGCATTCGACGCCGAGCTCAACCTCCTCCCCGTAGAGACGACCGGAGATATTTTCTCCTTCCTTCGTTCCGACACTCCCACCTGCGGCCCTCCCTCGTCCTTCACCGTCTCCTCCGAGTCGGTGTCGGGTTATGACTCGAACTACACCGACTCTCTCTCAGCATACAGTTTCAACGCGCACTCCCCAACCCCCAACTACGCCCCGAGCAACTACTCGTATACCCAAGAGCTCGATATGGACTTTAAGCGCATGGCTCTCCCCGGATCAGCTGCGCCCGCGCCGGCTGCGGCCCAGGATGACCGCAAGTACGCGAGTGTCTCCCCGAGTGGTAGCATCCGCAGCTCCCCCAAGTCTGTACCCACCATCGCGCGCTACTCTCCGCAGAACTTCTCCCCGCGGGGGAGCTTCTCGGATTACGAGCCCGCCCAGCCGCAGCACTCACGCATGGTCAGCTCTGCGGCCTCGGACTACTACCCGCAAGCGCAGGTTAGCAAGACGTTTAACTACGGAGGCGCGTCCCAGCAGACGGTGTCCCCGTCGAACGTCTCGGCTGCCGTACCCAGTGTACCCTCTCTCCCCATGCTCAGTAGCTCCATGTCCAGGAAGCTGGACGAGATGCCGAACGACTCCAAGAAGAAGTACCAGTGTCCGTCGTGCCCTCGAGGTTTGTCCCTTGTTTAACTATATTCCTGTAATCCATCGCTGACTGTTCTGTCCAGCCTTTGCCAGGGCTTACAATCTCAAGACCCACATCCAGACCCATGACCCTAATCGTGCTAAGCCGTACGTCTGCCACCACAAGTCGTGCGGCAGGTCGTTCAGTCGTAAGCACGATTTGACCCGCCACCTCGTCTCCATCCATCGTTCGGATGCCATGCCTGCTTCGTCGTCCATCGGTGTCGGCAAGGGACCCCGAGGGTGGTGTG